TTTACCTGTTGAAAGCATCCACATACCACCCTTTCCATATGTAATAGGTGCTCAAGAAATACCTATTAAATTTAATGGAATAATTTTGAATGTGTTAAAATAATAGTCTCACATCTGTCTGTAGATCAGCAAAACTCTCGAAATATTTCTTAGGAACAAGCACATTATAATAATATATAGTTCGTGAAGTTATAGGGGGAAATATAAGAAGATATGGTCACTAAGCAGCCACATTCATCTTAGCTTGCAAGTGCTGGTGATCAAAGTGAGGAGACACGTGAAGAGCCAAACAGGTATCATGACCATTCTCTCTCTAGATTTCTTCCTGTGTTTACTTGGAATAACAACTGAGTTGTACTGAGTTATTCTGAGAGGTGAGGTGTACATTTTTTAAAAAAGGAAGTATATACAAAATAATCCAAGTCTGCTTCCCAATGGGTTTCAGGAAATTTTCAAATCTTTGTCTGGAAGTAACTAAAATCAGTACAGGGACAGCAGAGGAAAAAGGAGGTTTTGGCTGGTGATGTGGGTCAGTGGAGTCTTGTATTGGTGGTGTGGCGCTGTGGAGTCTTGTGTTGGTGTGGGGCTGTGGAGTCTTGTGTTGGTGTGGCGCTGTGGAGTCTTCTGTTGGTGGTGTGGGGCTGCAGTCTTGTGTTGGTGTGGGGCTGTGCAGTCTTGTGTTGGTGTGGCGCTGTGGAGTCTTGTGTTGGTGTGGCGCTGTGGAGTCTTGTGTTGGTGTGGGGCTGTGGAGTCTTGTGTTGGTGTGCGGCTGTGCAGTCTTGTGTTGGTGTGCGGCTGTGGAGTCTTGTGTTGGTGTGCGGCTGTGCAGTCTTGTGTTGGTGTGGGGCTGTGGAGTCTTGTGTTGGTGGTGTGGGGCTGCAGTCTTGTGTTGGTGGTGTGGCGCTGTGGAGTCTTGTGTTGGTGGTGTGGGGCTGTGGAGTCTTGTGTTGGTGGTGTGGGGCTGTGGAGTCTTGTGTTGGTGATGCAGGGCTGTGGTAGAAGGGACTAGAAGTGAGATAACCTGGCTTCTGATCTTCCTCGGCTGTTCTGTAGTTAGATCCTAAGTCATCTCTGTGTTCTCTACCTGCAAGATAGGGACCTAACCTGAGGTCATTGCTGAGAAAACTCACCAAGTTGGTTTCTTCGATGATTTGCCTGTCAATTATAATATACAGCATGTGAATATTATCTGAAAAATCTGCAGCCAGAGTTAGGAGGAAGAGAAGTAGGAGAAGGGAAGGAGGAGGAGGAAGAGAACCTCCAAATCCTAGTAAATGTAGAAAAACTTATTTTGAACAAAAGAGAGACAAGTAAGAGCATACCACACTAGCATGGTCTTTGCAACTAGAACATGCTTCAAAGCAGCAATCCCATTAGGGTAGCCTTGATACAAAACACCCCATTGCTATCACACTAGCAATGCCTTTACAAGAACATACATGAGAGAATTAAAAATAGGAAAAATCGTGTTCTTTTGTCCCTGTGTTTAACAATATCAAGACAAGTGTGAAAAGGCTAAATTAATGAATTTGAGGCTGTACTAACCTCAAAGAGAGGGAAATAGGAATAGAGAAGACAGAAATGTAGTGCTACCCCTTTAAGGACAATTTCATGAACAATTTTGGCTTTAAAGCTATTTTAATGTTTCACATAATAAAATAAACATGTTATTTTAGCACTAGTAAACAGATTTTGGCAAAAGGAACCATGCACAGCACAGCAGAGTGTCAGCAAGGAGCAATTCATCCTCTCCAGGTGGGGGCTGCTCCCCAGGGCAACCTAGGAATTGTCACCAGCCAAACATAGCAGATACCTTTATCCAACAGATATTCACAGTGTGCCAGTTCCAGCCCAGACACTGAGGACAAAGCTGTAAGAACAGACCCATGAGACACGTGTCATCTAGCCCAACCAAGTTCCTACCCATAGGTTAAAAGTCATTGGTTCCGTGTAAGCCCAGGATAGCCCATGTTAGAAGGATCACTAGACGCTGACTTTTGTGGGTTATATTTGAAAGTGTCTCCAGGGGTAAAAGGTTCAATTTCCTAGGATAGGAGAGAAAAAGAAGTGAGAGGGAGGAAGAAGGAAGTTGAAAGAGATTATTTATTCATGGTGAGAAGAACTTCAATAAATACTGTGTAAATTCCATATAGTTATGTAAAGTAACACATTTTGGGATTCATTCTGTCTTCTATTTCAGCCAAAGGGATGCACCTGTTGTCCCAATTACTCTAGGAGGGAAGGCAGCAGAGATGCTGGAGCCTAAGAATTCAAGACTAGTCTGAACAAAGTAGCAAACTTTTCCTCTCAACAAAATAATAATAGTACGGAGGAGGAGGAGGGGGAGGAAGAGAAGGAGGAGGAGGTGGAAGAGGGGGAGGAGGAGGGTGAGAAGGAGAAGGAGGAGGAGGAGGAGAAGGAGAAGGAGAAAAGGAGAAGGAGAAGGAGAAGGAGAAGGAGAAGGAGAAGGAGAAAAGGAGAAGGAGAAGGGTTTGGAGGGTGTGTTAGGGATTTCTCTCCTGTCTATGCTCTTACCTCTTAAACCCGGGTTTGAACAGCGCACTCCCTTACAAGGATGCTTTTCACTATTTGTGAAAGGCTAGAAAGCTTTTTCAAGTTTCAAACAGCATGTGATGATCTCATTAAACTAGGAAGTCAGATTATTTGGCTGTTAACCTCAAGTCCTTCCCAGGGCATCTTTTTCTTGTTGATTTCTTAATGGTACATCTTACCCGCCCTGGCATCTTACAAAGCCCTGGCAGCTTCAGGCTTTAGTTTTATCTAAGGTCGACCTACACCTTGGAAAGCGGGGATCCAGCTCAGCGTATCTACACGGCCTGGGCAGAGCTCCTGTCCACAGCCCTCAAATCCCAAGTATTCCTTGGGCCATCTGAGGTGCGCTTGAGTAAACACCCATCAGGACGCCTTTCTCACCTTTGGGAAGTGGGCGAAACAGCAGTTTTCCAAGGAAGTCCCAGGAGAAATTTTAAATTCGGGTTTAAAAATAAGTCATCAAGGTTTCCTCTACACCTGTATACCGAGGATATATAATAGAGAATAAAGGACTAAAGCTTCTACAAAGACAAAGCCTTATTTATGGTGATTAGAAAAACAGAGATTATCTAAAATTATGAACTCATTCTGTTGAGGTCTATCTGTAATGTAGGACATTTTATTGTGACTTTGAATCATACTCAGAAAAACTAATGAACAGATATGTAAGTTTAAACACAAGCAAAAATTTTAAAAGACTGTTATTTGGGTGGATGTTTTTGAATCCGTCTTCCCACTTTCCCAGAGTGTTCATAATAATTTTTATGATCAGAAAAAAACGAAAACAAGATAAAGTATAAATTTGTGTTTGGGTTATCACAAAATTTGAGATTCTTGAGGGTGAAATGTGGGGAGTATTGGTTTATTTGGGGAAAACACTATGAGCACACCTGCTGGTAAGAAGCTGGACCTCCGCTGCTGTTTTCCCTACCCCTCCCCTCTCCCGACCGCCTTACTCACTAGGAAAAAAAAAAAAAAAAAAGGAAGCATATAGCTTCATCATAAAGATTACATGATATGTATATGAAATTGTTACACAATTACTTAGTCGCAAAAAAATCAAATTTGCTGAAAATTTTCGTGAAGTTTTTATATTTCGAAATTGTTCTAGACCTGGGAGACTAAAGATGTTTGATGGACCCCCGGAACCTACCGACGCCCTCAAGTTGCCCTCTGATCCCCACACCTGGGTTTGCAGCCCCCTTTTCCAATAGATAATTTTGTTTTTAAATTTTTGTGCTTTCTGACTGGAGTGGAGGAGGTGGGTTTTCATCGGGATCCCAGGAAATAGCATCTAAACCTGTCGTGTAACCGTGAATTTTTAGGGTTTAAAAACATTTGATCTGAAATTCCCTTAAATCTCTAGTGAGATCTTCTTTATTTTAAACGATATTTTAAAATCCTGTGTTGGGCACGCAACACCTAGCCCCGGTTTCTTGATCTCATTAGCACGAGCCATGGCGTCTGGGAGAGTCTCGCTTACACAGTGTCCTGCATATTCCTCCAGCCAACGCATCTTTCTCCTTACCTCATGAAAACGAAGTGTAAGAGAGGCTCGCCCTTTGCCCCAAACCCCACACGTTGTGTTCCACAGCCATGGCCATATCTACCCATTCTCTCCGTGTTCCTACCTCGCACACCACGGAGACACACTGTATACTCCGCCCAAGCTGTGTCCAAGGAGCTCTTCTGGAGACCTAAGACTGGGCAAAACTTTCCACTTATACAGGCTTGCTCAAGACAAGCTTTAAGACAGAGAAAAGAAGCGGGGCTGCGGGGTGTGGATGGGGACTAGCCGGTAGGGGTGGGGAGGACCGGGGACAGCGGACAGGGCCAGAGCTTACCATACTTCCCAACCACTCCAGAAATACTCAAAGATTACCAGAGTACCCGCCCAACACAGCCTCTGCGCCTGAATTTCCCTTAAGTGACAAGTCCGCGTATCCTGGGGCCTCTCCAGTTCCCTATCCCTCTTTTGGTTTTCCTTTGCCGGGAGAATGTATACTGGAAAACCTGATGGACTGATTGCTCTGAAACTCCGCGCTAGGGCCCATTCAGGTCCGGAGTCCTCGGGAGCTCCCCGTCGCACCCTCTTGAGATATAGGCCACGCCCTTCTCCTCTTTGCTTTTGAGAAGCGTCAATAGGAACCAATCCTCCAAAAAGGTGACGAGGGATTGAGGGCGAACAGAAGGACCCAAAAGCCAGCGTTTGGGGAGGAAGGTGCAGGGTTAGCACGTGATTTCTGTGGGAACCAATGGAGGACCGCAATTTTGTCACCCGGTCCTGGTCCCCCAGCTTGCAGACAAGGCCAAAAGAAGGCGCGGGCCTGGACCTTAAGTGTGCCTCCCGGAGTCGCTTAGGCCTGCCATCACAAAAGGGAGAGTTAGGGGTGCGACTTCTGGCAGAAGTTGAGAACTTGTCAGCTCCGCCCCCCTAGGCTTGCGAGATGCTGCTGAACCCCGTCACCTCCACCCCCTTCTCCGTAGACGACATCCTCAGGCTGGAGCGTGAGCAGAACGATGCCAAGACTCCGTCACAATGGGAGTTACACAGGAACCTCGAAAAGCCTCAGTACCAAACAATGGACCCGGAATCCGGAGGGACAGTGAGCGGCAACAGGGCCCAAACTAGATCAGACCCTTTTGGATGCCCCTGGGAGATGGAGCCTGGTGAGTAAGCACAGGTCACTACAGGTGTCACTGATGGAGAAAAGGCATCTTCTGGGATGCCACCCTATCTTCCCTCGTTTTATTTAGGAGTCCAAAAGACAGCCTCCCTGTTCCTAGTCCTGCCTCCTACGGACTTGAATTGTAGGGTATTCCTTCCCACAGCTGCCCTTCTGCTAACCACAAAGACATGATTCCAGTGGAGCCTAGTTCTGAGAATGTCTTTTCCCCATCAAACCTCTTTACCATAACTCAGTTCATGCTCCATCACTACTGCCCTTGCCTGCCTAGACCAAACCTTTCTAGGTATGTTGATTTATCTGAACACACACACACACACACACACACACACACACACACACACACACACTGGGGAGAGGAGGAACAAGTTCCCAGGGTAAGAGTCTGCTAACTTTCAGCTTTGCTGAGAAAGGGCTAATGTGGTTTCTCTCCCCACTGTCCCAGTCACAGGAACACCTGGGTGTAAGTCCCTTGACTGGCAGCCTGTCTTCTGCCACTGTGATAGCCACACAGGGCCCACTCCAACCTGTCCCTGAGGGCTGTCAGTCAGGGGAATAGGCCATCTGGTAGGCTTTACCACCACATGTGACATGTATCCCCTTCTGAACCTCTTGCCTCCTTGAAAGCAGGGCTCAGAGCTCTCCAATTGTGACTAAGAGGGTACAGGGTGCTAACTCTTACCTTTCAGTTTATTTATTTGGGTTTGGGATTATGTGAGACAGGATCTCAGTATGTTGAATTTAACCTTTTAGTGTATCACTTGGTTGGGGTGTGATCATTTTCACACCAGTGAAATGAAATTCGAGTAAGTCAAATGCCATTTTGTGTTCAGTCCCCGATGTTTGTCATACCAAAGCTAAGTTCCATCTGACCCGGGGCTCCCAATAAAAACGAATGTATTTTCAGTCCTCAGCTTGAATAACCTCAGATTGAGAGAGTAAAAAAAAGAGAGTGCTCTTTTCCTGATGGGGACTTTGAAACTCTGAGTGTCTAGAGTTGGCTGTGTAGTTTAGGCTGACCTGAATTTAGGAACTTAAAGCAATTGGAAGGCCTTTGCTGAGTCAGCTACTTTCAATTGGAGTCTCTGGCTGGCTCTTCAGCATCTCTGGAGGTTAGTCTTCTTTAGAGTTTTAAAAGGAAACAAACCCTCCGGTTTTCCCACTTTGGGTGTCTTCGATTTCTAAGAGCGTAGACGGGGGAGGGGGAGGGGAGGGCGGAATTCTCCTCAATCCCTGGTCTAAGGGTTGGGAGTCAGGATCTCAACCCAAGCCATCGGACATTGGCCCTTAGATGTTCGCTTCGGTGTCCCTGGATTTCTCCCGGTGTGAGTTTCCTCTCCACCATCCCTTGGGACCTAACAGATCTTAAGCAAAGACAAGAGAAGTGGGAAGAAAGGGAGAGGCCGCATCTAGGTAGACTGGGGTATAGTCACAGCCCCGCTGAGGGAAACATTACCCGCTTGCCAAAAAGACCTAACGAGGAAGGGACTGTTTTTCAAAAAGCCAATATGTGGATCTCAACTTCACATATCAAAAAAAACCTCTATTTCCAAGCCTGAGAGTTGGGACCTGGATATATCTGGCTTTTAATCTGTTCAGGAAATATCAATATCTTGTTCTTAATTTGCCCTGCAAAGCATCCTGTTTGTAAAGTTTAAGGTCCAGCGACTTTGTGATAGGCCCGCACACTCACGTTGTAAGATTTCTCAAATTGTTGGACCACCAGACACAATTGGAGAAAATAGGCACACCTGATCCGGAATGTACTATTGGTGAAACGAAGCGTACAGGGGATCCCAGAATATACGACTTTACTTAGGCTCTGGCGAATACAAAAGCGACAGAGATTTGAGAAATAGACCACCAGACCCACCTGGGAGGCGGGTAGAGGAGGGTGAGGACAAAAGGAAAAGGGGGAAAGGGCTAGCTAGTGAAAACAACCCCACCCCGAGCCTGTTGCTGGCTGTTGATGGTGTTCCTTCCTTGTGATTTTAGAGACTCCTCCGCGCGCGACCGCCCCGCTTGGAGCTGGGAACCCGAGGATGGAGCGCGGTGTGGGCAACGGCAGTGACAACGTACACCCGGGGCTCGCCAGGACGCGCCCGCGGCGGAAGCCCCGCGTGCTGTTCTCGCAGGCCCAAGTGCTGGCCCTGGAGCGGCGCTTCAGGCAGCAGCGGTACCTGTCTGCGCCCGAGCGCGAGCACCTGGCCAGCGCGCTGCAGCTCACGTCCACGCAGGTCAAGATCTGGTTCCAAAACCGGCGCTACAAGTGCAAGAGGCAGCGCCAGGACCAGACCCTGGAACTGGCGGGCCACCCGCTAACACCCCGCCGGGTGACAGTGCCCGTACTAGTGCTGGACGGCAAGCCCTGCCTGGGTCCGGAAGCCTCCGCCTTCCCGGGTCCCTATGCGCCCCATCCTTGTTTCGGGGGCTACTCGGGCACTCCCTACAGTGCTAGTTACGCAGGCCACTACAACGGCGCCGGCCCCGGGACACTCACACCACTGGCCAGCTCTGGCTTCAGTCCAGGTGGCCCGAGTGCTGCCCCGCAGGGCCATCTGCCCGCCACGCTACAGGGAGTCACGGCCTGGTGAAAAGCCGGGGCTCAACTACTGCTTGGTGCCTGGTCCCCTCCTCTTCCAGCTGCTCGCCAGCGAGTTGAGCTTCGGCCAAGGGGATGGAAAGCTGCAGTCGTCCTGGTACTGCCCACCTTACTGATCTCGGGACTGAACTGCCCAGAGGAGCGGCCACCGGCAGGCTCTGAGAACATTCTTTCCCTCGGAGATAAAATCGGGATTTGGCTGGCCACCTAGCTGTTGTACAGAGGATAGTATGATGACTGACAATTTGGAAACAGGTGATTCTGAGCCACAATCCCCTTTAAACAATTGCAAGCATCCTGGAGGCCTGAGATCAAGGCTGTTCGCACTCCATCCCTTAAAGGAACAAGTGTGCGGGTAGAGGGGATGCGGGGTTGAGAAAATAGAAATGTCAAGCCGCTGAAGATACCAGAAGACGACGAACCTGGAAGTGCCCCAGACAGGGTTTAGGGTTTATGCACCCTGGACCTCCGGAAGGTCCGTTGGGGAGCACTTTCCCTAGCGGTGATCTCACTTGCCTCCTAGGGCCTCTCCACTCTCGACAACTGCGTTCTGTGCAGGGAACAGCCGGACAAGTAAATGAGCTAACTGTATTCGGTGTGCGTGCCTGTTATAGACACCAGGACCCTGATAAGTTCTCAGAGGGCAGGGTGACATACATACATCTGTACCCAGCACTCAGGAGACCCAAGTGGGAGGATTGGGGAATTCAAGGCGCAACCTGGGCTACATAAGGAGTCTCTGTATCCAAAGCAAAATAAAGTGTAGGCAGATAAAGCCGATTCATCCCTGAAGGTAGGTTATTGGGTTTTGCCTCGCACTTTCTCCACTTTGTAGATACTTTTAAAGGGGGACATTTTAAGTCCCCGTCAGAAAAATAGCCCCACCCCACCCCAAGTAAATCTAAAAAGATAGTTCTTTAACTGTGGGATCTTCAAAATTATGAAAAATTTACACTTCCCCAATCTTAAATCATCCGACCCGAAGACTGAAAATGAACTCAATTTATTAATGGGAGCACGGAGTCAAATAGGAATTTAGCTTTGGTAGGACAAACAGAGCAGGGCATTGAGTAGAAAAATGTGATGTCAGTGTCGTTGGACTTCATTTTCAACCCTGAGAATCCCAATTCTCTACCCCTCAACTGATAGCAAAAGCTAAATTCTATTTTTGAACAGGTTCCCATATTTAACTAAAGGGGACACCCAGCAGTTTTCCCTGGACAGCCACTCCAGTGAGGAAGTGAGGAAGGGCCCAGTTTGATCTTCTCTGAAAGATGCTCAATGGTTGGCAGCTTGCATCCCTTAAGAGTTAGATGCCTAGGCTAGGGAAACCAAAGCCACTGTTCCTTTTTAAAATCTACTACCACTTCCTCCTTTTAGCATTTATTCATTGGGGGAGGGAGGAGGTGCATGCCTTCCCACGGTGCCTGTAGAGAGAGGACAAAGTGAAGGAGACCCTCTCTCCTTTTACCCTGTGGGTCTTGGGGCTGGACCCCAGGCTTGACTTGGCACCTTTATTAGCAGAGTGTATCTCTATGGTCCAGTATCACTTCCTCATACTTTCCCTTTGTTCTCTTCCTCTTATTTTTCATTTCTTCGCTGTTAATAAATTATATTTAGAAGTGCATCAGTGCCCTGTAATTAATGTTGTGCCCGTGGGACTTAAAAGACAAAAGTATGGAATAATGAGATGTGGCTTGATTGGTAGAGGGCTAGCTCTGTGTGTGGAAGACCCTGAGCTGGATCCACCACCACTGCAGAACCTGAGTGCAGTGATGCAGGCTTCTAACTCCAGCTCTGGAGGTGGAAACAGAAACAGAGGCAACGGGCTATCATTGGCTATGAAGCAGTGCAGTCCTGCCTGAGCAACATGAGACCCTGCCTAAATAAAATTTTTAAAAAGTACGTGTATTTCAGATTTGAAAATCTCAATAAGAGATGTCCTCAACTAAACTAAGCTAAAGACTCAGCTAAACTTTCTATACTGTGAGACTCATCAGAGGAGTCTCCTAACTCTCCCTTTGAAGGGTGTGGTTATCAAAGGAGGGGACATTTGGACGCTAATGCTACATCAGGATAGACATCTTTCAATCCAATGTTGCTACTGAAGCCTATCAGGTTTTCCTTGGAAGTTCCCCCCCAGAAGCTCCCTTGAACAGGCCTTACCCCAGATAACATTGCATTCTAGATCTTTGGAACAGTAAGAAATTTAAATGTTATGCCTTTCCCCTTTCCTGCCCTTCTGGCCTAGAAAAGTCATAGAAGCAACAGAGTGCTGTGTTCTGGATAGGTCCTGACTCCTGGATTAAGCCAAGTTAGCCCTAGGCCATGCAACCTAGGGGAAAGCTGGGAAGAAAGCCAAGTGGATGGGGGCTCTCTGAGTGACAGGCAGGCAGGCTCAGGTCTGCCATGCTGGGTCGTCATGTCTGCTCCTTCCCAATAGGGGCACAAGAGCAAATGAGATATGGCTGCCATCCTTCAGGGCTTTATTATCTAAACTAGGGAAAGGCAATTCGAGAAAGGTGTCTGAAAATAGAGGGTAGTGTATACTGTGTGTCAGGACAGCAAAAGCTCCAGGAAGAAAACCCAGCTGGGGATGATGTAAAGGGACACTGTGGAGAGAGGTGGGTGGCTTTGGTGATGAGTGTGGGGAGAACTCTGTTTCTCCGGCAGAGGTCCATGTCTGTGCTATGGAGACAAGCAGAGGTTCCAATACGAGGGCCACAGTCCTGTTCCAGGGGTCTGAGCCACATATCAAGGTTTGCATTTGGGAGTCTGGGAGTTACAGGCAATTCACTGAAGTTCCATTGAGTGGCCTCCCCTTTCTTTCAAAAATGTACCATGGGACCATGTCGCAACCAAGCTTGAGACAATGAAGCTTGAGGAAGGCATAGGACACACAGCCTTATGGACCTTCATCTTTTGTTACACTGCCCCCCACCCCAGATTGTTGTGACACCCCTGTTTGACTAACCTCAAACATAAAAACAGTAACAATGACAGAAACCATTCAAGCTCATCCCAAAGGGAATTCCTGACAGTAAGTCTGGGTTTCCCAGAACACCAAAGATTTCTTAAGGAAACAGGAACAAGGAAAATTCTCTTCTGCCTCTCCCCTCTGTGCCCAACAGCTGCTGTGAAAAGCACCCCACTCACACCCAGCCTTGGAAGTCCCCAACCCCCAGCTGTCTGTCTTCCCGGTAATCTGTCCAGTGCTAAAAGCTGCCTGCTCTGTGAGTCCCTCACTTATCCTCACGGGGCTTTTACTGGGGAGGGAACCACTCTGTAAGCAGCCTTATCTGCATCCTTCAGACCCATCACTCCAGTCACCTCTTAATGTTCACAAGTCCCCCAAATGGGAAGTAATTGACCTCTAAACAAAACAAAAAAGCTCTCAGAGATAGCAGAGGTTCCTGTCCTGACTGTCCCAGGCCCAGGGGCTTCACCTAGACCAGGTGGGTGAGTCAACACATTTGCAGACTTTGTGGCTCCTGATCCTTCATCTCCCAGCCCATCCCCCCACCCCTTAAGCCCACTGGTTCCCAGGCTGTGTACCAAATAGAGTCTAGACAGGGAGACTTGAGGCATTTACTTTTGTAATGTTATCATCATCATCGTCACCCCACCACCACCATCACCCTCATCATTCTGAGTTGGAAGGTATATTTTAATCTTTTAAAACTTCCATTTTAGAAAGTATCTAGAATTACCAGCATTCATATGCCCTCCTTATATCAATCGGCTCAATGACTGGCTCTTTTCCTTTGCTGGAAAAGAAGGGGATGGGGTTTTAAAATCAGTGCCCCTCGGCCCTCCCCTTCAGAGGGGTGGCCCTAGTTTAATTAGGAGCATGCTCTGGGACCTTGAGTCAGCCTTCTAACCTCTCTGTGCTTGGTCTCTCCATCTGTAACATTAAGAAGCTAGAACTCTGGGGCCACCCTTCTAACTTTGCGTGGCTCTCTGTGTTTCACGCATCCTTTCACTTTTAAAACTAGGAAATCTATAGGTGTGATGTCCAGAATGCTACATAAAACATCTAGACACTGTTTAAATGACACTTGCAAAGTGAACAGATTCTGTCAGCAATTCACAGTCACCCACTCAAGCATCGGTGCCTGCCCTCCTGCAGCTCTGCTCCCCACATCCTCCCAAAACGCAACCCCCTCCTCTTACCCCCACCCATCCCCCAGAGGTGGTCCCAGCGCTTAGATAAAGATTTTCAGGTTTCTTATTATGGACCTGGTTGTGCGGATGCTTCCTTAGCTATGATTTAATCGTGTCTGGTTTGGAAGGGTACCAGGGATCAGCCTGCATGGATTCTTTTGTGACTGGCCTCCTTTATTCCATGTGAGTGGGGATTTGTCCAGGCTGTTGCATGTAACTTAGGTCGGTTGATGTGCTGCGTTAGAAGGCACTAGGTGTATGTACTTTAATGAGTGTGTTAACTGACAGTGTAGGTCATGTATAGCTGGGACAGTAACACTGCTTTAGTGGTTCCATTTCTCATGAGCGTAGCTGTGATCTACAGCTGAGGTTTGTCTCTTCTTGCTATTGTAACTGGGCAATGATCTACCTGCTGGTAGGCTTCTACTCATTTGTGAGCAGGTGTGTGTGTGTGTGTGTATGACTATATTTGTGTGTGTGCGTATGTATGACTATTTGTCTGTGTCTTTCTCTTGCTCTGTCTCTGGTCTCTGTCTGTCTGTCTCTGTCTGTCTCTGTCTCTGTCTCTCTCTCTGTCTCTCTCTCTCTCTCTCTCTCTCTCTCTCGTGTGTGTGTGTGTGTGTGTGTGTGTGTGTGTGTGTGATTATGGATAAACCTAGGACCACACGCATGCCAGGCAAGTGCTCTGCCACTGAGACACAACCCCGTGCTAGGTTTCTATTGCTAGAGTAAATACCCACCCACCACTGTTCTACCCTTGTAACTACTTCGTCGTCTCACGCAGGATTCGCCTTCTCCATCAGATATAGGCAAGCTGACCCCTCTCTATTCACAGATTCAAACAATTTTAGGTACTTTTTTAAATACTTGGAAAAACTCCAACAGTTCCAAAAACTGAGAATTGCCTTTCCTTAAATACTGTGTTCACTCTCTACATATGAAGTGGTATCTTAAGTATTGTAATGAGTACCCTTGGTCACCTAGAGACACCTAGCAGATACAGAATGGTATGTGTGATTGGAGGGGTGTCTGTGCAAACACTGGGCTGCTTTAATAAAAAGACCTGACATCTATGGATTTTGGCATCTAAGGGGGGGGGTGCCCTAGAACCAATTTCACAAAGACCCTGAAGGATGACTTTTCCCATCCAAGAAGATGTGTGTCAGAGTCCCAAAGGTGACCATCACACTGTGAGCTATCAACAACTGTAACTACGCCCCTACCCTCTGTTCTTGGTCCCGTGGCTTTGTGAGTAGCTACTTTGAAAATTTCCTACCAACACCGTAACTATCATGTGACTTTTTTTTCCCTCTATGCTACAAGTAAAAACTACAGAAGATGGATTTTTGGAAAGCATCAAAGGGGAATAAATAAGGTCTAGGGGTGAGCTTAGTGGGGGATGGGTGAGGTCCTGTGTGGTCAACCATCCAGTATCCATTAAGAAAATGAAAACCAAGAACTAAAGTTAAAGGATTATATATAATGTTAAAGGGCCAAGGCTGGGGGTGTGACTGGGTACTCACCTAACATGCGTTGAGCCCTGGGTTCAATCCCCAGTACCGCATAAGGAAGGCATGGTGGCTCAAGCCTACGTGTAATCTCATCACTCAGAAGACACAAGATCAAAAGTTCAAGACTTTGTAGTAATCCTTGACTATCTAGTGAGTGAGAGGCCAGTTTGGGATACATGAGACCCTGTTTTCTTTTGAGTTTCTTTGGTGTTTTGTTAGTGTTACTGTTGTTGTTAGCACAGAGTGGTTGAAGAGATGATCAACTGTTAAGAGCTCTTGCTGCTCTTGCAGAAGACCCTTGTTCATTTTCTAACGCCCCCACAGCCATTTTTAACTTCAGTTTCAGGGGATCCAATGCCCTTTTATGACTTCTGTAAGCACCAGGCACACATGTGACATGCATATATACGTGCAGGTCGAACCCTAGTACACTTAAGATAAAAAGTACAGAGAGGGTAGGGTGGCATTGGATGGGAATGGTACCACTGCACCTCCAGGTGCCAGGGCAAGCGACATTTGAAGATTTTTTCCATTCTTCTCCCATCTTTGTATACATCTCTGTGTATTCTGAACCTCCAGGGACGAAGATCCTACATTCAGTGGCCAGCAAGTGGGAATTTTCAGCCCCACCCCCCACCAAGTTCCTTCTCCTCTTTAACAGCCAGGAGATAGCTGAAGGTGTGTGTTTGGGTGGCTGGGGAGCTCTCCCTTCCTCCAGATTCAATTTAGGCCCATCTAGCACCTCCCAACCCTCAGCATCAACCCGAGGGAAAGAAAGGTAGATCTTGGTGATGCTGTCCAGATTCCAGGGTAAGGGAGAACAAGATCCACCCAGCAGCTTGCGGGAGCCTCAGAGAGCTGTCTCAGTCTCAGGGGCTGGCCTTTGAAACTGGTCTCAGGCCAGCCTGCCTCCTCCCCACCATGCCTCGGTGACTTCTGCCTCCTCCTGTCACCAGCCCAGCTTAATTACCTGAAACCTGTGGCCCAGGATAATGGAATATTAAGCAAGGCCTTTAGAGAGCCAAACTTTTCATCATGGCTCCTGCTTGCTGTCCTTCCATACCCCCCCCTCCCAGACCTCATCTCCACAGTCCCCAGGGAAGCCTGTCTCAGTGTCTGGACTGTTCTCAGAGCCCTGAGACTCATGTCTGATGTCTGTCTTTTCTAAAGAAAGAAGATCTGGTCTGGGCAGTGTATCTCCATCCTAGGCCTATCCAGGGACTCTGGGTTCTATTTACTTATTGTCACATGGATCAAGAAGTGAGTTGTTACCCACAGCTAATCACTGAACTGAACTGGAATCCAGTTGCAGAGAAGGACGAGTGATGAGCAAAGGGGTCCAGACCAGGCTGGCAAAACACACAGAAACAGCTGACCTGAACAATGGGGAATTCTTGGTCTCCAGACTAATAGCTGGGAAACCAGCATGGGACTGATCCAGACTCCAGGAAAGTGGGTGTCAGTGAGGAGACCTCGGAAATCCATGGGCCTCCTGAAGATAAGATCAATACTTATCCCTAGCATAGGTGTGGACTTTGGGAGCCCATTCCACATAGAGGGATACTCCCTGAGCTAAGACACACAGGGATGGGTCTAGGCCCTATCCCAAAGGATATGACAGTCTCTGAAGACCCCCTATGGAGGGCCTCACCCTCCTGGGGAGCAGAAAGGCTATGTGATAGGTAGGGTTTTAGTTGGGGGGGCATGGTAGGGGAAGAGGGGAGGGAGAGAGAACTGGGATTGACACGTAGAACAATCTTGTTTCTAATCCAAATTTTAAAAAAATTTAAAAAAAGAAGTGAGTTGTTGCTGTTTAGGTTTCTTACATATCCTCACAAGGTTTTCAGGCTTTGACTTGGGGAGTCAGAATCCTATAGAACTCCCTTTCTTGTTGTGATAGCCATCTGACTCCCAGGGGAGGTTGTTTGAGTCCCAGTAGCAGGGACATTAAGAGTTTGCGTCATCCAGGGGCCACAGCCATAGAGAGGAAGAAAGTCTCTCCTGTTGGTGAAGTTCAGATAGCAAGAGCCAAGGAACATTCCACTGAGATCACAGGGAAGGAGGCTAAGACTGGTCTCATTCAAAAATACCCTTTAGGGCTGGCATTTTGTTTCAGTGGGCAAAGCACCTGCCGTACCAGCACAAGAACCTGAGTTCAGAGACCCAACAACTACAGGAAGCCGGTATGGTGGCATAAATCTGTAACCTGAGTGCTGGGAGTAGAGGACACAGCCAAGTTCCTGGAGCTCACCAGCCAACCAGCCAAGGTGAATGAAGGGACACCAGCTTCAGTGTAAGGTCCCGACTGAAAACAAAGTTGAGAGTGACTAAAGCAGACACTTGGCATTGACTCTAGCCTTCACACACGTGCACTGGCATCCGTACATGTAAGGGCACCCACATAAACACACTCAGGTATCCACAAGGGACCCATTGCTAAATGTAACATACTTTTTGCTCTACCAAGAAAGGGGATAGAACAACGAGAAAGACGAGAGTGCATCAAACAGAGTCCTGTTCTCAAGATGCTGAGGAAGCTGGTAAGAAAAGATGCTGTAAAAGATGCTTCCCCATGAATGGGGAAGTATACACTTAACTCTAGCTGGAGCAAACACTATAATCACTTCACTGGTGACACTGGCTCCTAGATAGGCACTTGGGGGTGGAGGCACACGTGGCAGAGGGATCTGGCTAGCATCCACTATTTCTCTCCTCCTTCCTTCTTCAGCAATTGAGCCTCCAGTTTTAGTCTAGCACACCTCCTGTCAGCTGAAGGTGGTGTTTTCCCAGCCTCCTGCGCAGGTGGCAGTGGTCAAGCACAAAGCTCTGACTTAAAAGATGTCTGTGGAAATAACGGGAACACCTTCCAGGAGACAGGCTTCAGTGGAAGGGGTCTCCTGTCCTCTTCCTGTGACTGGAAGGAACCCTGATGAGAAGGCAGGAGCAGCAGCAATGATGCTAAATGCTAAAAGAGTAATTCAATGGGAGGAGCCTAATACTTAACACCTCACAATTGTATCAGCTTTTTATCCACTTAGCGCCCCAACTGCTACCTGAGAGGCTTTTTAAAAAAAGCCACTGCTGGCCGGGCGGGTGTTGGTGGTGCACACCTTTAATCCCAGCACTCGGAGGCAGAGGCAGGCAGATCTCTGTGAGTTCGAGGCCAGCCTGGTTTCCAGCGTGAGTGCCAAGATGGGCTCCAAAGCTACACGGAGAAACCCTGTCTCGAAAAAACAAACAAACAACAACAACAAAAAGCCACTGGTATGGCGGCTGTTGTTACAGTAACTGAACAGGTAGGTATCTTTATGGACAAAGAATGTAGGCGTGTCTTTAGAAAAGCAACAAACCTGAGCACAAAAGATACTTACAAAATAAAGCAAGATACCTGGAAAGAGAAGGGGCTCGGGCAACACAGGGCATAAACTGCACAGAAACCAAGGACTTAGGGTGAAAGACACAAGCTCCCAAATTAGCAGACTCAAGCTAAAGATGATTAAAAGTGTACCCAGTCAACACGCAAAAGCCCAGATTGAGGTGTCTACATCCACTTCTTTTCATTAGGCCCCGAGGCTTCCCACTATCATTGAAAGATGCTGGTCCTGACTTTTAGGGTAATGTCCAAGCCCATGCAGTCATTTTGCCAAGGTTGTACATCTGGTGCCTACTTTCTGACTCAACATGGTGTCAGCCTCACAGCCTCATGGATAAAGTCCGATGAATAAGGAAGTATTGACTCTTCCAGATGTCTGACATATATAGGACATCTCAAATGCTCACGAGACTCGGGTTCCCTATCAGGGACACCTGTGTTGAGAATCAGTCTCCCAAACTTGCGTGGAAGGGTCACATATAAGGTCAACATTCTTTGGAAGTAAGGAAATTGACAGCGCATGCAGAGCTTTGAATGACCACCAGAGGACGCCATTGCTCCCATTTTTCTCCAGGGAACGAGAGACTGCCCCGCATTCCTGGAACCTCCACCAAAGCCTCCCGGTTTTGTTGTGAGCAGCATTTCGGATTCTTCTTAGTCAGGTGAAATCCACCCCTGTCCTGGTGGCTGAGTGCGATCAGCAAACACAGAATCCCATAGGCACTACAGTTCCTAGGGAAAACACTGGGTGCTGAAGCGGGCGCGAGTGCCCTCCAGTCAGAAGTAACTGTTACGTGAGAAAAAGATCGTCACAGTTGACTAAATTAAGGAAGCTGAAGGATTTGCCCAAGGTCGCCCTTATAAATGTGTCAGACAGACTATACAGCCACTTGTTTGTAGGTCTTCTGTCCAGGTCAAAGTGTGGACATTTAGTCTAAGATATAGCTGGTTTTCATTCTTGTTTGTGTCTGTTGTTGGCTTGCTTGTTTTGAGACAATGGTCCATGCTGCTCTTGAACTCATGAACCTCCTGCCTCAGCTTCTTAAATTCCGAGACTACATGCTGGTACCACCAAAACCAGCAAAAATAAAACTGCTGAAAACCAAGTTCAGAATAGAACTCACTATCTGGAGCAGGTGGGCTTCAAACTCAGAGATCAGTCCACCTCTGCCTCCTCTGTGCTAGGATTAAAGGTTTATGTTGCAAATGACTCTGTCCTCCTACTCCCCTCTTTTCCAGTCTCAAAAGCACTTCAAGGGAGAGGGTCTTCCTACCAAGCCCTTCCCGTTGGCCTGTTCTGGGCTCAGCCTGCCTCACTTCCCCTGAGTTTAGGATGCTTTGAGAATGGATATCATTGAGTCAATTGAGTTTGTCTTAAGTCTATCACCAAGAAGCAGCTGAACTATTTGGTTTCTTCAATTCTGTAGCAAAATGCCTGAGACCAAATGGTGCAAAACAAAGTTTATTAAGCTCACATTTTTTTTTAAGCTCACATTTTTAAAGTAATAAATCCAACAGCAGGTAGGCCCTTTGCCCTGGCAAGGCCCTACCTTGGCTGCATCATGAGACTGATGGCCACATGGTAGGAGCCTATAGTAAGAGAGGAAGCCAAACTGTGTGTGTGGTGGTGGGGGTCACTTGCTTGTCATAACCTCCCTCCCAGGAGCAAACTCTAGAAGACCGGTGTTCACTGTTTTGAAAGGATGACCCAGTGACCTGCCACCTCTTAACACCCCCACCCCACCACTGCCATGCTGAGCACCAGTCTTCCCACACATATGGACCAATTCAAACCACACCCAGTTGCCATTGACTCAGCATGGAAGCTGCTCACTGCACCAACATGAAGACCTGAGCTCAAACTCAGAAACTCAAAGTTGTTATGGTGTGTGTGCAACCCCCCCACACACACACTTAAAAAAAACTACTGACAAGCTGAGAAAAACTCAAGCTTTAGCTGAGACTGCAGTATTTTACTTCTTTGTGTATGTCTGTAAGCCTCTGCCATGTTGGGGATGCTCTCTGAGGCCAGATGCCCTGGAGCTGGAGTTCCAGGCAGTTAGAAGATGCCCATGTGTGCTGGGAACTAAACTTCAGGTCCTCTAGAAGAATGGCAAGCACACTTAACCACTGTGCCATCTATCTAGTCCCAAAATTTTACTACTTATTCCCCTCAAAAAAAAAAGGTAAAAAAAAAAAAACCAAACAAATTAAATGCTAGCAATTATCTTTGCCTTTTTCAGCTTCCTTGTCCCTCCTCCCTCCTCCTCTCTGTCTTTCTCTTTGGAGAACATTTGAGGCAGGTATGATGGTTCTTGCCTGTAATCCCAGCATTCTGGAGGTGGAGACAAGAGGGTCAGCTCAAAATCAGCTACAGAGCAAGTTCAAAGACAGCCTGGGTTTTGTGACATCCTGTCTAACAACACAACACAAAAGATGAACAAACAGAAAAAAAAAACCATTTTGGTTTAAAACAATAAAAGCAACAAAACAAAGACTATTTTAGAGGACATAAATAAAGCTGGCCTGTGTGTTGACAGCTAAGTTCTGACGTAGCCACTGGTGTGTGATTTCAGACAAGTCTCTCAGAACCTGTTTCCCTACTTCCAAAATGATGTACTGAGTCTCCTATCTTTGTCTCTGTGTGTAAATAGGAATCTTGCACACTTACTGTCTACATCCGTGCCTTTCTTCTTCTTCTCCATTCTCCTCTCTCCAGCTCCCTGTGGGGGAGGAGTGCTTGGATAAACACATGACCAGAATGCAAGGTGTCCTCTGCCCTAAAGCCTTGCAGGCCCTGGCCACTGATATTGGGTGGTCTCAAGGGTCTGCCCTTCCACCCAACCCCAACGCTGGGTGGCCACTTCCCATACAAGCTGTCCAAACACCATCCAGGCCCAGCCAGTCCTACTGCTGTCACTGGGAATGCCAAGCCTTGACCCAGGCACAACACCACCTCATTGCTAGCAGTTCCCATAACTGTGAGCCAAAGCTGTACCATCCAAAGTGGACTTTGGGGAAATACCTGTTGGACAATGCAATCCCAGAACAAATTACTTTTCTTTTCAGATACTCTCATGGATTCCATAGGGTCTGTCTAGTTCAAGGAGAGTAGAACTTTCTGGAGAGCCACACAGTCATTGCCCCATATCCGAATCTCAGGTCTTAGAACCAGCTCTGCCATCTTCTCAGATGGCCACCTTCCCTCTGAAGATTGCTACCATCATTTTAGGGCAATCAAGGCTCTGACAACTCAGTGTCATGGGAGACTGTCAGAGCAACCGAGAGTGGCAGAGGGAAGGTATCGAGTTGCCAGGGGTGGTCAGTGCTGGGGGAAGGTCAAAGGCCCCTCCCCTAGATAAACATCCCCAATGTGTCTCCCAGGTGAGGACCTCTGCTAAGCTGTTGAACAGATTAGGAGTGGCCACCCAGTCAGAGACTGGGGCTACTTCTGCAGATACAGCCCAGCAGCTGCAGAGGGGGAGACAGAGGAGGGGGAAGCTGGTGACCAGAACACTATTAGCAAAATACTCTTAGGCTCCTATTGCTTAATAAATCTTCTCCATTACTTTCCTTGGGTGTTGAGCATGGATGAGACGAGAGGCATCATGAGGTTGATGTTATCTGCCCACTAAAGTTCTCCAAAGCTTGACCCCCTGGGCCATGCAGAGACGTGTTCAGGGAAAGCTGGTGGGCACAGCTGCAATCCCAGGCACTTGGAGGTTCACAAAGTCTTGGGATAGAGGGAGAGGAGCTTTTGGGCAGGTGTGAGATAGGAAGCCTGGGTAGGAGTGAGGATAGGAGTGAGGTTAAGAGTCCAGGCATGTGGAAAGTCTGGACCGCATCATGAGTGTACCACACACACACACACACACACACACACACACACACACACACAGTCACGTCATATCCTCTCTCCCTAACTGCTCAGAGATCTCAGCTTCCACTGGTTACAGGTGGGGGGGTCCCAGGGTCTTGCTTAAAAGCTTTTTAGAAATGAAGACTCATAATGCCCACCTAGGTCTGCTGAGGAGAAATCCATTGTCTAATAAGGATCTGGATTCTGAGACAGGTTGCTGTAAGAGGCCAGGGTCCTATCTCTGTCCTCTTGAGGTACCGTGGTTTAGATGTCTCTTCAGATCCTCATGTTGAAAGGTCATTGGCATGGTATATATATAAAGAGGTGAGAATTTTAGAAAGGACAAGGTTCTATAAGTCCTTAGGGATTGGCTAACACAGTTAATGGAAAAGTGGGTTCCTGATTGGATAAGGGTGGTTGGTAGCTCCTTCCCTCCATCTTTTTCTCCTTATCTTTCTCTCAATATGATCTGCCTTGTTATGAATAAGCAAGAAGTCATCGCAACTGAACCCCTAAATCTTGGGGTCTCGGGCTTTGCAGCTCTAAAACTGTAAGTCTTACTTCTCTCAATGCTAATGTAAAAGAATGTTTTAGTAGAAGCAGAACCCAAAATTTAGTGTTCCAGTTCAGCCCCCCCAAATAACAAAGGGACAAGTCTCAACGCTTATATTGCTGAGCATCCAAGAATCCCAGGAAAATGTTCTCTGCCTCCACCCCACTCCAGGATGTGAAAAAAAAAATCAGGGGGTGTGGCAGCACAGTGAAAGAAGAATTTTTTTTAATGTTGAAGAAGATAGGGTCTCTGCTGAGAGAAACATCACAGCATATCCTCTCTCAGTGAGGACTGGGGACAGGAACAGAGGTCTGAAGTAGGGATACTAAAAGGGGAAAGAAGATAGCATGTCCCGGGCTGGGCATTTCTCAGGCAGCCTGAAGGCAGCCTTGATCCTCCACTCCTGCTTTAGTATGATCCTCTGAGAGTGCTCCCTCATGGCTTGTCTCGGTCCTCTCTCCCAGGATCCCTCCTCTTCCTGCTTTTTCCCTTTTTAGTCTCTCTGAATGAG